CATTTATCAAAGATCATAGATTGAGATCTAGAAGGAACCTCAGAAGCCATCTGGACCAAACCTTTTTTTTTTTTTTTTAATTAAGATGAAAGAAACTGAGTGCCAGCAGGGCTTAAATGATTTGCCAAGGTCATACACCGTAGTAATGGAAGGGTCAGGGTTTAAATCTAGGTCCTCTGAGAACCATAGCCAATGCTGTTTCCATTGCACCATGTGAAATATTGTGGAGGAGCTTCTGTTAAAAGATAGGGTGGATTAGATGCCTTCTGAGTTCCCTTCTGATTCTAAGTTCTGTGAAAAGTATGTATGAAACAAACCTGTTTCTGCAGAAGAAACTTCATCTACAATGAAGAAAACTTTATCAAAGGTTTTAATAGTCTGGGTGTTCTGACTATTTCTGCCAAAGAAGTTGGCAGTTCACAATGCGAAAGGAAGACATAGACATTTATAGATAATAAATGAGCAGCTAGGTGCAAGTGGATAGAGTGCCAGGCCTGGAGTCAGGAAGACTAATCTTCCTGAGTTCAGATCTGGCCTCAGAAACTAGCTGTGTGACCCTGAGCAAATCACTTAGCCCTGTTTGCCTCAGTTTCCTCAGCTGTAAAATGAGTCGGAGAAGGAAATGGCAAACCACTCCAGTATCTCTGCCAAGAAAACCCCAAATGGGATCACAAAAGAATCAGACACAACTGAAACAGCTAAATAACAAGAAGATAATAAATCTAGGGGGAAAGGAATAAACATTTATAGAATGCCTACCATGTGCCAGGCTCTATACTAAGTGCTTTACAAATATTATCTCATTTGATCGTCACAACTCTGTAAGACAGATGTTATCATTATCCCCATTTTGCAGTTGAGGAAACTGAAACAAATAGATGTTAAACAGACTTGCCCAGGGTCACACAGTGAGTAACTGTCTGAGGCCAAATTTTTAATTCAGGTCTTCCTGACTCCATGCCCAGGGCTCTATCCACAGTGCCACTTAGCTGCCTCATAAATCTACCAGTGAGCTCAAAATAAAAGCAGTTTGTCTAAGTCCTCTTTCCACTGATAGCTTTCAAATTCAATAACCATTATGTAAATAAGCTACTGCTGTTTGAATATCAGTTCTGGAGTTGAATAAACAAAAAGATTCTGGTAGGTACCATTTTGCACCTATAGATACATACATACATACATACATACATACATACATAGATGTGTGTGTGTGTATGTTGTGGCTAAGGGTAAAGGACCAGCAGATACAGTGAGCCAATTGTGACATTGTCCTTCTGTTTACATATCTAATGATTTAATGCCATTTGCCTTGATCACAGATCCTACTTCTAGATTGTAGTCTTTAATTGTGGCACCTACAGTTGATATATTTAGTTAGTTTTGCTGAACTGCTGTTTTTTCTTCTCTTTCTTTTCTCTTTTTATCCTTTGTTACTAGGGCTAGCTCTCTGGGTAGGAAGGGGAAAGAAATATATTCAAAAATAAATGTGATGACTCAAATGAAAAGATGAGAAGACACCTCCAACCTACCCCTTCATGAAGGTGGGAGGTACACAGGTTACATACTGTACATGTTTTTAGACTTTTTCAGTGTATTGCTAAGTTTTGCTGATTTTTCTTCTGCTTTTTCTTTTTGTTACTGTTTGTTATATCGGATGGTTCTCTGGGAGGAGGAGGGGGAGGGATACTAAGGATAACTATGAGAATGTAAAAAACAGAAGACATCAATAAAAACTTATTTTCAAAGTGATACAAAAACAAGTCATCAATTAAAATTTTTGTGAAAATCACAGGACTGGAAAAAAATTAACATTTGGTTCCTTGGTGTGGAATTCAGATAATTGTGAAAATGCAAAGACATTTTCTGATGAAGGTATAAGATATTGGACAACATTAAGTATCAAAGTATGAACTACAAAATAATCTTTTAAATATGTTATATTTTTATGACTTTTCTATTCTTTCCTGATCCAGACTTAGTTGAAGAAAAACACTCCAAATTGTCTAAGAAATGTTCCTTACTTTGTATAGCATATACATTCTGCATATAACATGCATCTACTATATTTAGCATACTGTCAGGATCCCACACATCAAATGGTCCCAGAACTATGTATAGAATATTTATTCTGTGCATAACATACATATATATATATATATATATATACACACATACATACACACACACACTGTATCTAGCACACATCAAAGATCTGTGATTTTGGCACCAATGCATATACCCTTCTATAATTTAACAGATACTTTTTTTTTTTACGCAATTGGGGTTAAGTGACTTGCCCAGGGTCACACAGCTAGTAAGTGTTAAGTGCTTGGCCTGAGGCCAGATTTGAACTCAGGTCCTCCTGACTTTAGGGCCAGCGCTCTAACCACTGCACCATCTAGCTGCCCCTAACAGATACATTTTCAATACATCTTAGGAAGTTGCCCAAGTTTCAGAGAGGTTACATGACTTACCCTTTGTCACATATGTGTCAGAAGCAAGATTTGAACCCATCTCCCTGTCACTAGCTCTTTTCCCATTGTGCCATGCCCCCTCTAATAGCTAACATACCTCTTTTCAAAGGTCATAAATGTAGAGCTAGAAGGGACCTTAGAGGTCATTTCATTTTCCAGATGAGGAAGCCTGAAGCAAGCACAGACATCGTAAGGACTTGCCTAGGATCACACAGCTAATAAGTGTCTGAGGCATATTTTGAACCTGGGTCCGTTGCCCTATCCTCTATGCCATACTTAAAAGTTAAATTACTACTTGACTAAAAATTTACTGAAATTTTAATGACTGTGACTTTTCATTTGCATGTGACATGGCTTCAAAAATTTTTTATACTTTAAATTTTTTGTAATATCAATATAACTAGTATCAAAAAGGGCCTTGAGTCTATGCCATAAGGATCAGTTGAAGAAACTGGGCATTTTAGCTTGGAAAAGAAAATAGTCAGGAATACTGACATCTGTCTTCAAGCAGTTAAAGACCTATCATGTGTAGGTTCTGTGGGACCCCAGAGGTGCCAGGAACAATGAGTGGAAATTTCAAGGTGGTAAATTTAGGTTTAATGTCAGGGGGAAAAAAACTTCTAACAACTGGAATTATCTGAAAGTGGAATGGGCCTCCTCAAGATTGGATTCCTTATCCTTGACCGTTTTCAAGAAGAATCTGCACAGCCACTTCTTGGCTTTTTAATAGAGAGGTTCCTTTGATATCGATTAGCCTAGATGGCCACTGAGGTCCCTTCTAACTCTCAGATTCTGGGATCAGATCACAAGCATGGAGCTAGAAGGTTTTAAGAACATACCTAGTAATCATCTAGGCTGCATGCTCAAAGTGATTGCAATGAATGGGGAAAGTGCTGGCTCTAAAGTCAAGGGACATGGGTCTATTTTAATTTGTGGAATAAAAAATCATTTCCATAACAGTATAATTTTTTTAAAAGATGATTACACATGAAACTGTAAATATGTTATTTATAACTTGCTATTCCTTTTAAATATATAATAAAGTTATCATGTAAAGTTCTTTTTTTTCCTGTTTTTTTCTTCCTTACCCACCTCCTGACCTAGAGATGGCTACCATTAGACACAAATAGGTACATATGTGTGTGTGTGTGAAATTATTCTATACATTCTTCTATTTATCAGTTCTTTCTCTGGATGCAGATAGCATCTTTCTTCGTATGTCCTTTATTTTTAATTTATGTGTTTATAATAGTCAAAATGATTTATTCACTCAAAGTTATTCCTAAAACAATATTGCTGTTACTGTCATACAGCGTTCCATTGGTTCTGCTCATTTGCTAAATGAACTAGGTCAACATTCTGTCAAAGGTAGTTGGAAATCATGATCCCTGCTCATTTGTCTCCCTTTATTTTCAGTTATTTAATATGCACATATGTTTGCTTCTCTACTCTGTAAGTTCAATTACTTTGGGATTTTTTTTTAGCTTCCATATTTTTCTAGCATCAAACCACTGTCTTCTGCTGAAGACATTTGATGGAAAGTTGGCCATATTTAACCATGTTAAAATAGCAGAGCAAAAAAGATATACATCCCAATGACAGAACAGATATATATGCACTATGCAAACCAGAATATCTTTAATATGTCAGAAACTTATAGCCAGGTCTTTGGGAAAAGAATGATACAAAATATCTACAGTTCCTTGCAGCGTCAACATTCAATGAGCTACAGTTTGCCCCCAATTAGTAAAAATAATGAATCCTGTGAAATGGGCACATTATTCAAATTTGCACTGCATATTTCTATTGGACTGGAACCAATTACTATATTTTATGTAATCACCTTCAAATAGTTCTAATTCAAATACACTTCACTGGATTCATTATTCATATTAATCTGGACCTCCTTGTCCTTTGTTTTTAAACATTCTTTCTATGTGAATGGCTCCTGACAGAATTTTTGCAGTTGTTTCAGTAAATTGATTAGTCTTATGTCCTATGAGATGTACATTCTAATAGTGTTCATGCTTCTAACCTCAGCCACACTACTTTGTTCTGGGATGAAGAAGTTGCAAATGTTAGTAAAAGGAAGTAATCTCTTCCTTTAACGCTAACAAATAATCAGATTATCTTTGAAGATTATACTTTAAAAAAAAAGCTATAATCTGCTCCTATAATTAGTTACTGTAATCATCCAGGTAATTGTTTGTCAGACACAACATCTGGGGCAAAGTACAGTAAGCTTGTGTTAAAAGATAAAGGACAATGTACATTTTAAGAAGTCACTTTATGTTACATACCCTTGTAATGTCTCAATACTATGTGTTTGGTAAAGCAAGAGTTCATAAAAAGTGCCCCACACACACTATCCTGGGGAGATTAGTTATGAAGACTCCGCTCCCAAAATGGTTTTCTTAGAAGATAGTTTCACAATGACAGTAAAGTGTTGATATATAGTTATGACAATTTTATATCAAATTCTGAAATGGAAATGCTGTTTTTCAATATATTTGGTTTTATTTGTAGGACACGTTCTTATAGAGATTTCAAATACACACAAGAAACTCAATGACAGTCTTGATGAAAACGTAGGTGACCTTTTTCATATTTGCCTTTTTGAAATTCATTCAACTTTGTTTTAGAATTTTCAACAACTATTTTTAAATATACCATGTGCTATTTTTCCTCTCTGTAGTTCAAAAAATTCCACAAAGAAATTATACGTGAATTGGAGAAGAAGACAGAACTTGACGTCAAATACATGAATGTGAGTACCCTGGTTTATTTCTGTCATGAGAAGCCCCAGATTTCTACTGGTGAATGTCACCAAGGAAGTAACCTTCCTGACTGACTGATTTCAATCCTGGGTCAATTTTTCAATTTAACTTGAAACCAGAATCCTGTTGCTAACTCTGCAGGGATCTTCCCAATCAGCTTCCCAGTTTCCCCCACCCTAAAACCTGGATGGAGTTTCTTCCTTTCTACCTTTTTTTCTTGCATTCTGACTTTCTTACTGTCTCATCTTTCTTCCTGTCTTCCTCCCTCCCTTCCTTCTTCCCTTCCTTTCTTCCTTTCTTCTGAGCTTGTTTTTAAAAGATACTCAGCTCCCTATTTAAAATGGATAGAAGAAATATTATAAGAAATCATTAAAGCTTTTTGCAAATTTAATAGCTACCATTTTGTGCTAAGTACTTTTTATAAATGTTATCTCATTTAATCAATTAATTTTGTTTATTTAAATAATTACTTTGATTTATTTAAATATTCAATTTAGGCAGCTAAATGGTATTGTTAGTAGAGTGCTGGACCTAGAGTCAGGCAGGCCTGGGTTCAACACTCACTAGCCATGTGATCCTGGGTAAGTCATTTAACCTGTTTGCCTCAATTTCATCATCTAAAAAATGGGGATAATAGTACATACCTCATAGGATGTCATGAGGATTAAATGAAATAAAAGTCATGATCATGATAATAATAAAGACCTAAAATCAGGAAGATCTGAGTTCAAATACAGCAGAGGACATGAAATTAGAAGGAGCTGAGTTCATCATCTGGCTTCGTGGCTCCTTCAAATCATTCAACTTATGTTTGCTTCACTTTCCTCAACTGTGAAATAGAGATTAATATTATCCTTAGGATCTAATGAGATGTTTGTTTGGTATTTTTTAAGTGCTTAACACAGTACTAATCCTTGAGGTGTTTCATAAATATTTATTCCCTTCCTCTTTCCCCCCTTCCCTTTCACCAATCTAAATAAACACTTTTAGCCTTTTCTTTGTTCACACCTCCATTCTTTCAATAAGAGTTTCCTTCAGCACTCCTCGAACTTCCATTCCATCCCAAACCTCTGTCCTTTATGCTCCTATAATTATACTAATACCCCCAAGCCCAGCTCTCCATATTTGGCGTTTCTCTTTTTCTGTTAATACAAAAAGCTACTACCATTTTTTTTTCTCACTTTGATGTGGCCTTTTGGCTCCCAGTCACCTTATCAGAACCTTTCCCAGCATTGTCCTTATATTCCCTTTTCCAACATCCACCTAATCTACTGAGCAGGTTTTGTTTTGTTTTGTTTTTTTACAATTCAATTATCTTGCTAAAGATCTTTTGCAGTCCTTTTGTTTCCTAAATTCCTTTTAATGAATCTCTTGCTTTCTTCCACCTTCTGGCCCTTACTGAAACCTGAGTCCCTCCTAATGTCCCTCCTTTCACCACCCTTTCCAGTTTTGGCTACTCTTTCTCTCATTCTCCACCCTCACTGGTCCCAATTGGGGAGCCAAAATGGTTTTTATTCCTGTTGGCCCTTCCACACTCTCCCTCTACCAGCTTTGATAAATCCTGGTGATTATTATCTATGGACAACTACCCCCATCACTCTCTCTCTCTCTCTCTCTCTCTCTCTAAATGAGCCGTGTGCTAGGCTCATAATTCTTTTCTGAGTCACTTGTACTCATACTTGAAGATTTCAACCTCTATAATGATGTTTCCTCAGTCTACTCACTTCCCATGACTTGTTCTTCCATTCCACCTCAGCTACACACAGATGGTCATACCCTTGGTCTTACCATCATCCACAAGTGTTCCATTTCCATGTTTATAAACTCTGGAATTCCTTTATCTGATCACATCTTTCATCATCCCATCTTTTTCTGTGCCTTGTGATTTTGACGGCTATTCTTTCTGTTCACTGTGACCTCTGTTCCCTCCATTCTTCCCTGCCTTATCTCTGTCTTGACTCCAATCTGTCTTCCATTCAGGTGGTTTTTCTAAAGTGTAGGTCTGATCATTGTTATCCCCAGCCCAATGGGCTCTAGTGGCTTCCTGTTAACTGCAGGATCTAATATAAATGCCTTTGACATTTAAAACTGTTCTTAACTTGACCCCTTCCTACATTTCCAGACTTTTTATACCTTACTCTTCTCCACATACTCAATACTGCCCTATTTACAATTCCTCAAACAGCACACTCTATCTCCCATCTCTATGCCTTTGAACTAACTGGAATATTCTCACTCCTCAATTCAGCCTTTCAATTTCCCTCTCTTCAAGATTCAGCTCAAATCTCCCCTACTCCAGGCTATTTCCATTTCTCCTACCTGCTAATGCCTTCCCCTCATAGAGTGCCTTCCATTTCTTCTCTATATATCTTATATCTGTCTAGATTGTTTATATATTGTCTCATTATATTAATATTATGACATTAGAATGTAAGTAAGCTCTTTGAGGGCAGGGACTATCTGTTTGCTTGTTTATTTGCTTTTTTACTTTCCTTTTTTTCTTTTTTACTTATTCTAGCATTTAGCCCAGTGCCTGGAATGTATGTGTGCTTAATAAATTCTTGTCTGTTTAACCTGTCTTGACTTGACTCCTCCCACTTCTGTCTTTAAGGAATCTTTTAGATTTTCTTTCAGTAAAGAAAGCTGTAAAAGTTACTTTCCCTTCTCATCCAACCCATCCAGAATAAAATTAGGGCTACTCACCATTGAAAACTATTACCCTCCATTAGAGTGCTATTAAACCAAAGACATACACAAATGCTAAACACACATATAAATCTACACATAAAGACAGAGTTATAACTAGACTATACCATGATCCTATTATTTCTTAAAAATACAAACTCGATTTTTTTTTCTTTTTCTTGGTTTTTAATTGGGGGTACAGTAGATGGGACAGTTAGCTATAACAATGCCCCCCCAAAAAAGAGGGCTATTGAAACATTTTTTAAATACACATTAGAGAACAGAAGGAAATTCAGAAGGAGGCAACAACAAACAGGACAGTTTTGAAAGTAATATGTGGAACATATTATATACTTAAAAAAAAAAAGTAAGCAGTGTAAAATGGAGATTCACCATTTCACATACAATCCTCTTTTTTGTGTTAAAACTGTGTTTGTGTCTGTTAAGAGTAGTGTTAAAAATGAAAAAGAAGATATTTGTTCTTACTTTCATAGAGTTTCCTATCTAGCTGAGGTTTTAAAACATACAAACAATTCTTTAAATACAGAACAACTTACATGCAATATTTATATAGCACTTTATAATACGCAAAATGTTTTCCTCAACTTTCCTACAACTCTTCAGGATAGTATACAGATATTTTTCTACCCACTTTATAGATGAGAAAGTTGAGGTTTACAAGGGTTAATTGACTTGCTCATGATCATATAACAAGTGGTGGAGCCAGTGCCCAAGTCTCCTCAAAGCAGAGTTTTTCCATTCCAACAGGCAATTCTTCACCTCCCCACTATAATTATAAGGTGCATCAGAGATGCAAAATAGATGATCTGGCCCTTCATTAAATGGTAATTGACAGTGATAATTGGATAACCATTTATATGGTGTTTTTGGCATAATGTTTTAATTACAGGCAACTCTAAAGAGATACCAAACAGAACACAGAAGTAAATTAGATTCTTTGGAAAAATCTCAGGCGGAGTTGAAAAAGATTAGAAGGAAAAGTCAAGGTGGAAGAAATGCCCTAAAGTATGAACACAAAGAAATCGAGGTAAATAGAAGCTTCCTATCTGATTTTTCCAATTTCACTTTTAGGGGTTGATTAGATTTGTTTGTTTCTTTGCCTGCAAATGATTCTTGGTAAATGGTAGGCTTGTCTATCTCAATCTTTACCTGCTAATATTCTACCTGATAGGATGAATGATGTCCTAATTTGACGTAGTTTAGAGCAATTAGTAATCAGAACTTAGAGGCTGTTGAGTTTTCTATAGTTAACTACAGTTTCTATAGTTAACTACAGTTCATAAGTAAACCCTGAATCAAACTGAAGATGTGTGACACCCAATTGCCCAGTTTGACAGTGGATCATCTTAAAATAGGCTGTTAAATGATCTTTTTGAGATCTGATGCAGCAAGGGTATCTGCATTTAACATTCACTATTTTCAAATTTTAATTTAACAAAAAATGAACCAACATTACCAAATGTCAAACTGTAAATGTTGAGTTTGTACTGTGAACTTGGATTCTGTGATCTGGATAGCTTGATTTTTATCTTTGTTACAACACTTGTATAATTGCCATTTTTTTCCTTAGTATGTGGAAACTGTAACCTCTCGTCAGAGCGATATCCAAAAATTTATTGCAGATGGCTGCAAAGAAGCTCTCCTTGAAGAAAAAAGGCGATTCTGCTTTCTGGTTGACAAACACTGCTCTTTTGCTAATCACATAAATTACTATCACCTACAGGCAAGTATAAAAGGAAAGTAAGGCTGTGAGGGTGCTAGCAGTCTTATTTCCAGTTTCCTTCCATATACAATTCCCATTTACATAGGATTATAACATCATAGATTTAGAGTTGGAAGGGACCTCAGAAGCCAGGCTATCTACTCCAACCTCTTCTTTTTATAACTAAGGAAACCAAGACCTAGTGAGGTTGAGTGACTTCATCAAGGTATGCAGGTAATAGGCAACAGAAATAGGATTTCAACTTGGTCCTTTGACTCAAGAATCAGTCCTCTTTCTACTATATCACCATACTGTGTTCTGCATACACACGTATGTGTATATATGCAGGATATATAGTATATTAAAATATGCATATATTTTTGCAGAAGGCAATGTGGTGATATAGTGGGACAGGTTGTATACAAGGTATGTAAGTTTATAGTAAATACATGTTTCATATGACACAATATGTATATATTGCACACCATCTGTGTAAATATATACACACAGTATGAAATTGGTTTGATCTTTTTTTCCCCCTTAATATGGATTTAGGTAACTTGAACAACTTTAGAAGATATTTTTGTATTTCCTATGTACAGAGTACATAGTAGATTTGTTGTTGTTTGGTCATTTTAGTTGTGTCTGACTCTTCATGACCCCATTTGGGGTTTTCTTGGTAAAGATTGTAGAGTGGGTCTACCATTTCCTTCTCCAGTTCATTTTACAAATGAGGAAACTGAGGCTTAACACAGTTAAGTGACTTGCCCAGGATCACACAACTAGTAAAAATCTGAGGTTGGATTTGAACTCAGATCTTTCTGATTCCAGGCCCAGCACTCTATCCACTTCACCATCAATAAATATTATTGAATTCAATTCAATTCAAACCCATGTCTTTTTGAGTAAGTAAATGATGGTATTGTCATGTGTGGCAAAGGCAGCATCTGGGGCGTGGGTGGAAAGAATACTGAACCAGAAGTTAGAAGGCAGGCATTCCTGTCCTAAGCCTGCCAGTAACTAGCTGTGCAATGATGGTCAAATCTCTTATCCTCTCTGAGCGTCAGTGTCTTTGTCTATAAAATGAGAGGTTTGGCCTAGGCAGTTTCCAAAGTCCCTACCAGCTCTATAGTTCATCATTGTAGGAGATGTCATATTTATCACCAAGTTCCCAAACAAAACAAGTTCCTCCTTAACTCTTTCTTTCTTCTGGTTTTACAGTCTGCAGAATTACTCAATTCTAAACTACCTAAATGGCAGGAAACTTGTGGTGATGCCACCAAAGTGCCAGAGAAGATCATGAATATGATAGAAGAAATAAAGACACCAGGTTCCACCCCAGTATCAGGAACTCCTCAACCTTCACCAATGATAGAAAGAAGCAGTCTGGTGAGTACTTTTATTTCCATTTCTATATTACTGTGTGTTTAGGCACAGCTTTTTCTAGAAGCCAATCTAACCCAAGAAGTATCCTAGAATAATGAATAGAGCACTGGGCTTGGAATCAGAAAGACCTGGGTTCAAACCCTGTTTCTGATACGTACTAGATGTGTGATGCTGGACCAATCACTTAACCTCAGTTTCCTCACCTGTAAAATGAGGGGGTTGGACTTGATGGCCTCTCAGGTCCTTTCCAACTCTAAATCTTCTCTGCTGGACAGTGGAAATTTAGCACACTTTCAAGAAGAAGCCACTCTTTCTGAAAAGATCCTTTCATTCCTTTCTTTTGCCCTTCTCTCTAACCTAGGTTTTGAAATTATCTGTGGGAGGTTTGCAGCATCACCTTAAACAACATTCTGGGTACTGTGAACAATTTTATTTCTGTTTCTAATTCTTTGGAAATCCCAAGATTAAAACATTTATTCCTATAGGGAATTTGCAAATATCTGGAACTAGAGATGTGAAAAATTATTATGTTATGTGCCTCTAATATCTCTTAAGATGACTAGTGTGTACAACAATATGATTCATCATTGGCCAAAAAAAAAATGAATAAAAGTAATAGGTAACGAGGTATAGTGGATGGAGATCCATCCTTGATATCTGCAAACCTCAGGTTCAGGTCCTGCCTCTTACACATACTGACTGTGTGACCCAAGGCAAGTCAGTTAACATCCCAGGCTCTTATTAATGTACTAGGATTATAAATTGCCAGTCTCTTCCTTGATAAAGGGAGCTTCCTCACTGAGAGTTACCTATACCAGTGAAATCACAATTGTCTGGTCCAAATCAAAATAATAATAATGCTCTGGGTTCAGGTTGGGCTTTCTAATAAAGACTTTAAAGCATTTAATCCATCAACAAGCATGTATTAAATTCTTGCTATATGCTAGGTGCTAAAGATACAAATGCAAAGAAAGAATCACTATTCATTTTATTATTTATTTAAGGTCTCAGACCTCACTTGTGTTACAATCCCAAGGATTTGTGACTCTTGCAGTAATTTGAATGTATTGGTAACATCCTCACATAGAATAAGAACATTGAGAGTCTAGGAAATATGAGTCATGTCCTAGGTTTGGGGATTCCCTTTAGAAGTTTTGCAGTTTCACTTTAAGCAACTTTGTTGTTTTGTTGTGAAGTTGTTTCAGTTGTGTCTGACTCTTCATGATCCCATTTGAGGTTTTCTTGGCAAAGATACTGGAGCGGTTTGCCATTTCCTTCTTCAGCTCATTTTACAGATAAGGAAACTGAGGCAAACAGGATTAAGTGATTTGCTCAGGGTCACACAGCTAGTAAGTGTCTGAGAACAGATTTGAACTCAGGAAGATGAGTCTTCCCGATTCCAGACTTGGCTCTGTATCCATGTGATACCTAGTCACCCTTTAAGTAACTTGGTTGTGTCGAAATTTAATAGAACCTTAATGATAATACAGAATTGACATAGATGCTGTAATTTAAGGCAGTTAATTCAATATCATTACTCTTGTTTGTAAATATAATATTAATTATTATTCACAGGTCGGGAAAGATTATGCCACTCTCCCTAAACATTCACCGAAGATGCCCCCCGTTTCTTCGGCCAAAGCGTATGCCAGTCCTCTGGTTGATATGTTTAATAACCCAGCAACCATCCCAAAGACTTCAGAAAGGTTAAATGATACAGCTGGTAAGGAATTTTGTTGTAGTCTTTTTGAACCAATACTTAATTTGTAATTACACTCTGTCAATACTTTCAATAAAACATGTAGCAGTTGCCTTGAAAAATAGAAATATAACAAGTGCCAACGAAGAAAATTAGATTTAAAGGAACTAATCTTTCAACCCAAAGGTCCAGTACTCTTAAAAGAACGTTCTGATTAGTGACATGCTGGCTGTTTTGTGATACATGCTGAATTTGTGCACTGATAGATGCTTAGGGCCTGGGAAGGAATGAACAAGCATTTTTAATAAACATTTATGTGCCAAGCACCGTACTGTGCTGTACAATGCTCTGCACTGTATCTCTTGTATTCAATAATCTTATTTTCAAAATCTTCATTGAACAAACATTCATTAAGCATCTACCACCTCCAGGGCACTATGCTACAGTCTAAGAAGACAAAAACAAAACAGATTCCTGCCCTCAAGAAACTTTACATTCTGCTGGAGGGGCTCACATTCTGGGGATATAAGCTATAGTCAATGATATCTATGGCCATTATCATGAAATTGTATTTACAGTGAAACATTCAGATGATAAATTCACAGACTATAACTTCTCCTTGCTAGTAGGCTCAAAATCCAAATAAGTGTTTTTCATCTTTTCTAGCAAAGAATTATGTATGCTTTAGGGGCAGAATCAATACTATGGGGTGGCTTTCCCAAATGATAAATTCTTCATGCAACTAACATTATTAAACAGTTCTGAAAATTAAAAACCAAAATGTAAACTTGCATTTTTAGCCCTAAACATAGAAGGATTAATTGTTGCATGAAGATTACTAAACTCCCTAGGAGGTCATGATCCGTTTCTTTCCTCTGCCCTCAATCCACTTTTTGAGTCCCACTTCAAATAAAACTGACAAGAATCAACTGTGTGTAAAAAATAAGTTTGGGCTTTGAAGTAGTTGGGACAAAAATGAGCATAGGAAATCTTTAGAATGACTTTTGATTGAGAGAGATCTATATGGTAAGAATATTCTGTAGTCTTTTGCCTTTGGGAAATGCTACAAACAGTAGTAGTTTAGAATATATAATTAAAATATTGAATATAGGATTCACATTCATGTGGCTTTGATTTTTGTGGTTTTGGCAAGTATCACTATGGAAAGCTCAATGAAAACTCCTAATTGTTTCAATACTACCTAGGTAATTTGAATTTGGAAAGATTGCTATATTTAAATACTTGAGTATTACTGTTTACGCAAGTACCAAAGAGGAATGAAAACAACATTTTTTTTAAAAGAAATACATCAAAATGCATCTCAGGTTTAAAAGTTAGAATAACAACTATATGTCTGGAAAGAAACAAATTTCTCCATCCCTTCATATTTGCTTTTCAAAGTGGTATAATGTATCGTGATTGGAATGTTTCACGTATTTTCTTTACTCCTATGTTTCCATATACTTGTTTTGGGGGTAAGGTCATTAGATGAAGTTGGAGAAACTTCCATATTTTTAGATTTTCCATCCAGACAAATGAAGGCAAGATTCTTTATAAAAAATCTCCCCCTCCTCTCTTTTTTTTTTTTATTTTTTTGGAGGGAGAGGAACAGTAGAATCCGTCATTGGGATTTGAATTTTAGTTTTAAAATTTGGCATGTATGTCCTTTGAATATGATTAAAGTGTAGAGAACATGGGATGAGAAAATACTTTCTTGCCATCTGGGAGTAAAGAAGTTTTAGAGTTACAAAAAGAATGACCATAAACAGAATCAGATTGGCAAACTGAACAAGAAGGTTTTGGTTTGCTTTAATGATCTGGGGGAAAATTGTGGTCTGGAAATAAGATTCCTCTGGCCATATTTCTTTCTTTTCCCCTTGCCCTTAGTCTGATACTGATCAGAACTATTGTGAAAAACCAGCCAGTGACTTGATTGGATAGGTTGGAGTTATTGGCAAGGATTACAACAAGTGGCTTGGGGATTCTACCTATTTGAACCTGGCCTATATTTTGTTTAAAACAATTTAATGTTTTGTCGTATTGATTAGCCATCAATGTTACATTCATTTTAACAGATAATTCAGAGGATCCCAGTTTACAGCGATCTATTTCTGTGGCAACGGGATTAAACATGATTAAAAGGCAGAAAGTAAAAACAATCTTCCCACATACTGCTGGAAGTAACAAGACATTGCTTAGTTTTGCACAGGGAGACATCATCACATTGCTCATCCCAGAGGAAAAAGATGGCTGGCTCTATGGAGAACATGACCAAACTAAAGCGTAAGTCAATGAGTTGTGTGCACCGTGGTTACAAAGAAATTTAGCAATCAAAAGTAAGATTTGTTGTTGCTGAGTCATTTTAGTCGCATCTGCCATTTGGGATCTTAGCAAAGACACTGGAATAGTTTGTCATCTGCTTCTCTAGCTCATTTTTACAGATGAGGAAACTAAGGCAAAAAAGAGTCAAGTGACTTGCCCAGGGTCACATAACTAGTGTTTGAGACTAGATTTGAATTCAGGAAAATGAGTCTTCCCTGGCACTCTATCCACTTCGCGACCTAGTTGCCTGCCTAGCACATAGTAAGCACTTAATAAATGCATATTGACTGACAAAGAAGCCATATAGTTCAAAGCAGTGGTATTAATAACAGCAATGTAAACAATTCCCTGTAAACTCCAGAAGCAGCCTTCCCATTTTTAATCTAAGAAAGTAAAGGGTTAAAAAAAAAACCAATTGCTTTGGGACTGCTTCTCTTTAAATTCTGAAGCTCTTTCTTTTTTCTTCATGGGAATGCCAATCATATCAACAATTATTTCTCCTAATGTCATTGTGTCCTCTAAAACAACGAGCTGCCCAAGTGTAACAAAGACAACATTTGTAGCCAACAATGGCAATTTAATAGCTTTGTTCATGAGAGTCATTATATCAGGGACCTGATCCTCCTAGGTAGTAGAGGTAATATTATCATCCCCATTTTACAAATGAATAAACTTCAAGTCAAGTTAGGAGTAAATGTGGTGCAGTAGGAAGTATGCTGGTTTGGGAAACTGAGTGCCCAGAATTCAAATCTCAGCTTTGTTATCTACTGCCTGTGTGACCTTGGGCAAATTACTTAACCTCTCTAGGTCAGACTTCCTCTGTAAAATGAAGGAATTAGAGTAGGTGCAACTTATACCCCCAGCTCTTCTTATTCTAGTCTTTCACGCTTCTCTCAGTATCTTGCTATGAAAACAATGTATTTTTTGCCTTGTTCAATTTGCAAAATACTACCTGAACTTAATTGATATTGATAATACTTATTGAGGCTACTGTGTTCAGGACACTAGGCTATGCACAACATTGATGAGAAAGAGACAGTGCCTTTCTTTGAAAAGTTCATAATCTATTTGCAAAATAAAATAAATTTGTTGTTGTTCAGTCATTTCAGTCATGTCTGACTCTTTGTGACCCCCTTTGGGTTTTTCTTGGCAAAGATATTGGAGTGGTTTGCATTTCCTTCTCCAGATCATTTTACATATAAGGAACTGAGGCAACGAGAGTTTAGTGACTTGCCCAGGGTCACACAGTTAGTAAGTGTCTGAGGTCAGGTTTGAATTCAAGAAGAGGAGTCTTCCTGACTCCAGGCTGAGGACTCTATCCACTGTGCCACCTAGCAGCCCTGAGGCAAGTTTACAATGATGGAAAATCTTAACAGCTGAAATGGATTACCACTTTAATGTTGGCACAGCATTTTACACATAGATACATGCATACATACATATATACATACGTACATATATAGATAAAATTACGAGCTTAATTTTACCTTCTAAGTATAGTACAAGGCAAAATATGTTAAGTTTCAGAAAAAGAGATACAAGGTGCTATGAGGGTTAACAAGAGAGAGAACTGGCACACTGTTAGGGGAAATCAGGAAAAGTTTCATGGAGGAGGTGACATTTCAGGTATGCCCTGAAGGACGGGCAGGTAGAGTTTTGACAGGGATACAGGCAGAAGGCATTGCAAACAAAGAAGCCTCACAAGAAAAGGCATAAAGGTAAGAGAAGACAGTGCATATTGAATGTAGTTCAAGTTGTCCCAGAAAATAGATTGAGCCAGGGAGCAGATGAAGACTGGAAGAATTAATTGGGCCACACCGTAGAAGGCCTTGAATGCCAAATTGAGGAATTTGGATTTCATTAGGCGAGTAGCCAAGGTTTTGAGTAGAGCATGATCAGAGATATGTATCTATCTACCAGGTGCCTATCTACCATTTCAACAATGAGAGTTGCAGTGCCATGCTCATCTTTTGAGATAAAAATTTTACTACAACAGTGTTAAACTTGGATTTAGGAAGAAATATTCAAATTCAACCTCAGGCTTGAGTTTCCTCATCTGTAAAAGGAGATAATAATAACTGTAATACTTAATTTACAGAGATTTTCTAAGGATCAAACAAGATAATACATGGAAAGTGCTTTGCAAACCTTAAAGCACTGCATAAAAATCTGTTACTGTTCTACTTACGTGCCAAAAAGAAATGTTACAGGGCAGCTAGGTGGCGCGGTGGAAAGAGCACCAGCCCTGAAGTCAGGAGGTTCAAATCCAGCCTCAGACCAAACACTTGACATGTACTAGCTGTGTGACCTTGGGCAAGTCACTTAACCCCGATTGCCTCACCAAAAAAAAAAAAAAAAGAAATGTTACCCATTTTTCACTTTAGACCTTTTTTTTTTTTTTTACTAGTCAAGGCTTATGGTAAATTATTTCTTTATAGGTAAAATAAAATTCAAATGAAAATATAAGTTGTTGGGTTTTTTTCCTTCACTGTAGGAGGGGCTGGTTTCCATTATCATATACAAAGTCACTGGAAGAAAATGAAGAAGAAACACTAAATGTGCCAACTCCCAGGTAATAATTTGAGCTGTGAATTGTATTTCTCTATGCAAAATGCACTCTTTGCCTGAAAGCTTCATTGTACAACACTTCTCTAGGTATATTCATTATTCATTAACATACTGGAGACTCACTGCATGTTGAATAGTAATAAAAAACAACTTCTAGGCTTTTATTACTATTTTGCATTTTTTTTACCTTGCATTTATGTAATTCTTTTCCTTAAATCTTCCACAACATGAAAATACTATTTCAAGCCCAGATTCCCTAAATAGGAGAGGAAATCAGTAACATATTGAGATATTAAGAGGAAGGTATGTGGTAATGCATAATATCTATGAAAAATAAAAAAATTCATCTTAATTATTGACCTCTCTCACATATTTCTTCAGTAACTAATATGTTCTGAAGATGCCTATAACAAAACAAATGATGAGGATAACAAGCATAATAGAAAATGATGGAACTATTGTACTTCACGGGATGGTATACTGGTTTAAAAACAAACAAATTAGGGCAATTTGATACCAGCAGTACTAAATACAGCTGACATTTATTATGTCAGTTTCTCTAAAGTTCAGTGTATCTAGAAATCCCCCGGATGTCATAAATTGTTCTCTCTTATTTGTAATCCTTTTTCAGGATTTCTCAAGTGTCTAGTTATAAGTTCTCTCAATATATAGCCCTTTCTTTTTTACTTTGCATATAAATTTAGGGCAGATTCTGATCACTTGATGTTAGAAGCTTTGTTGTTTAGACTGTGAGACTTGATCTAATACATTTCTCCCTCCTTCCCTTCATTTTTTGGTTTGTAGCCCTGCACCTGTTAGAAGCATCAGTACAGTGAACTTAGCAGAAAAAAGTAATGTTGTCATCCCACCTCCTGATTATCTAGAATGTTTGTCTAGAGTTGCTGCTGCAGACAGAAGAATAGATACTTCTTTGAAAGGTTCTACATTTAAGCCACCAGCACCCAAACCAGAAATCACAACTCCTGTGAGTAAAACTAACTGATACTCAACTTGAACAGCAAAAACATTCCCTAAAGCAGAAATATTTCATCTCTTGATACACTGAGGTCATTCCTTGTTGTTGTTCAGTCATTTCAGTCCTGTCTGATTCTTTGTGACCCCATTTGAGGTTTTCTTGGCAAAGATACTGGAGTGGTCTGTCATTTCCTTCTCCAGCTCATTTTATAGATGAGAAAAGTGAGACAGACAGGGTTAAGTGACTTACCCAGGGTCACAAAGCTAGTAAGTGCCTAAGGCAGGATCTGATCTCAGATCTTCCTGACTCCAGCCCCAGCACTCTATCCACTGTGTCATCTAGGTGACCTGAAATCATTCCTATCTAGACATTTACTCTATTGAAGAACTTTAGGTGATGTCTATACTGTGGGGAATGTTTTCTCAGTGCCTGGTCCTTTTTTGTCAGACAACCCGTAACTTAAATAATTCTTTTGTTCTCATGTTATCTTTCAATTATTTACACACCATTATTTTCCTGATTGCCAGATTTTTTTTTCATATACACATCAACATATCAAGCCCTTCATCTCTGCTTATCGTAAGCCACGCATGCACGCTAATCCTTTGTCTAGTTACCTTTCTTTGGCTTTTCTTCATTTACCAATTTTATTTTTCTATAGAGCTACTTTATTTATTTGTACATCTTGTTAAAATTTAGGTTTCCCTACATCACTTATTGTTGTTTAGTAGTTTTCAGCAGTGTCCAACTCTTCAGGACCACATTTGGGGTTTTCTTGGCAAAAGATACTGGAGTGGTTTGCCATTTCATTTTTCAGCTCATTTTATAAATGAGGTAATTGAGGCAAGGAGGGTTAAGTGACTTGCCCAGGGTCACACAGCCAGTATGTCTGAGGCCACATTTGAATTCAGGAAGAGCCTGACTCTAGGCCAGGCACTCTATCCACTGCCCTTATCACTTATACATACTTCAAGTCATTTTTATTGTTCTTCATGTTTGCCCTTTAAAGTATCTTAAATTATCCTTATTTGACTGTAAGAAAAAAACTAAAATTTTTAAGAGGATGAGGACTGTCCATTGATTTCTTCCTGTCCTGGGACCATGGGAAATTTCTCTGCTGGTTAAGCCTTTTTGGGGGGAAGAGTAGATCTCCTCACAATTCTACTCCACCACTGCTTGCAGCCTTTTCTCCTTTTTCGAGGCCAATTCTGTTTGTTATATTAAATGGGGGAAGTGACTGGTATAGTGGAAAGAGCAACAAATTCTCAGAATCCTAAGACCTAAATTTGAATCTCAGTCTCCTACCTAATACTTACAAATTGGAGCCTGACCAGACCTCATTTTCTTCATCTGTAAAAATGATGAGGTTCTACTTAAATGATCTCTGGAGCCCTTCCCAGTTTTTAAATCTTCTGACGCCAAATAGGTTGTCCTTCATTTAGAGTTAACGTTGAGGAGTGTTGGCAAAACACGTAGACTGCCGAAGCACTGAGCCATACTCTAATGTATTTCATTCCCCACAAGTTCAAGCTCTTGGATTCACATTGAGGAACATATTTCTCTTATGTATGTTCCTTTAGATGACTAGATATATTTTGGAATATGTATACTCTGTAGAAAGCTAATTTTAAAAGCAGCTTTTCATAAGAATTTAATGCAGTATTGAAAGTAGAACTTTAAAAAAATAAAAACCAAATAGGACTTTTCTATTTAGCCAAGAGAATGCAATTATACATATGGCAGTTGACTAAAAAGTTATTTGTTAGGGGGAAAAAATTAAAGGTATATTTATTGTTTAGTCATTTTCAGTCATGTCTGACTTTTCTTGTCCCCATTCCCTTCTCTAACTCATTTTTATAGGTGAGGAAACTGAGGCAAACAGGGTTAAGTGACTTGCACAGAGTCACACAGCTAGTAAGTGTCTGAGGCCACATTGAACTCAGGTCTTCCTGACTCCAGGCCTGGCACTCTATCCAATATGCCACTTAGCTGGTATATTGATATATTGGCATATACCAATTATTTATCTATACATACCTACATATATATACATACATACATACATACATACATACACACACACGTATGCAATTGGTTTTTAACAAATTGAAATTATTTTAGTCTTACATTTATTCCATCAAGAATCTAAATTGAAATTCAGGTTCCATTGATGTAAACAGAACTATCATTCCTCTGGACTGGGGAGGAGGAGGGGAAAGGAAATTATTTTAGTCCTATTCCGTAACCAGGTGTCAAATTTGGGACTGGCCTCAATATATTTCCTAGGACATAAAAACACTTTTTTTAGGTGATGAAGGAACCTCTGTAGTGCATTTTATAAAGTTATAATCTTCCTAAAAGTTACTACATTTTACAGTAAACTCAAGATAGGATTAGAAAAGGCATATTTCTTTTGAAGAATATTTAGCCAATCTAACAGCACCTTTTAAAATGAAAAAAAAAGTCTCAACAAGAAGGTAAACATTCATTCCACAAGCAGTTATTAAGCACCTACTATAGACACTGGGGATACAAAAACAAACAAACAGTCCCTGTCTTCAAGGATTGTAGATTTGGAATTGGACCAAACCTTAGAGGTCCTCTTAGGCCACACCTCTCATTTCACAGGCAAAGAAACTGCAGACCAGAGAGGTGAAATAAACTAATGTACCCATAACCATACAGCCAGTGTTAGAGACATGATGTGAACCTGGTTTTTCCTGCCTTTATACTTGACTCTTAAACAATTCTACCACACAACCTCTCATGAATCCTAGGATAGGATGGTTTCAAATCAATCTAGGTTATGAACCTAGTACACTTCTGCTTACGTTCTATTGAGAAGAAATATGTACTCAGACGGGTATATATAAACTTTCTACAAATACAAAAGACAAAGGAATTTCCAATAGGGGAAGGCACTGGCCTCTGGGGGCCGATGAGCTGAGCCTTGAAGGGAGCAAGGAGATGGGACGGACAATACTCCCAGCAACATGACTATCTTGCTAAGAGAGAGACTGGTATCTAGTTTTAAAATCAAGAATTTTTATTCCTTCTTATGTTTTTTACTTCTTGTTTAAAACAATGGTTAAGAAAGTCTCTTGTTGGGGGCAGCTAGGTGGCGCAGTGGATAGAGCACCGGCCCTGAAGTCAGGAGGACCTGAGTTCAAATCCGGCCTCAAACTAAACACTTGATGCTTACTAGCTGTGTGACCCTGGGCAAGTCACTTAACCCCAATTGCCTAACCAAAAAAAGAAAGTCTCTTGTATAATTCTTTTATCTCAGTGAGTTTCATCGATTGTAAAATACATAATAATCGCCAGCATTTCTATAGCACTTTTAAATTTACATATATTGTCTCATTCCTCCTCAGAACAGCTCTATGAGGTAGATGTTATTATTATCCCCATTTAACAGATGAGGAAACTGAAGCTGAGAGAGGTTAAGTGACTTGCCCAGGGACACATATTTAATAAATATCTGGGGCAGGATTTGAACACAGGTCTTCTTGACTCTGAACTGAACATTCTGTGTTGTACCACCTCCCTGTATATACATATACATACACACATATGTACCTATGCATGCATATATGTACATACATACGTACATACACATAGATATGTATATATCAGTGATTGTAAATTCATTATTTGGTATCTGAGATCTAAATTTGCACCTTAATTTCTGAGAGTACATATAGATAGGATATCATGAAAAGTGCTGAGATTACATAACAAGTATGTGAAATGAAACCTGTAAAAAATGTCTCCTTTTTTTCACCTCTACTTCCTTGTGTCTAAGTATCTTGAATGAAGAAGTTCTAGCAAGGAAAAGAAGTGTGTACTTTATTGCAAGGTTAACCAAGAAGGGTGTGGAGGTGAAAGGGAAGGGAAAGGAAAAGTTAAAGTGTATTTTCTTCTCCCTCCCACCCCCAATCATAAGCAGATTCTGCCCTCAGCTCTCTGATTTGCTTTTGTCTCCCTACACGCACTCCCTTGGTGAGCTCATCCCCTCTCTCATGATTTCAGCTATCATCTTTGAGGAGATGAATCCCAAACTTGCTTTTCTAGTCCCGATACTTCATAGGGATTTCAAGCTATTGCTTGAGATCAAATCTAGCCTCAGACACTTACTAGCTGTGTGACCCTGGGCAAAGTCCTAACCTCTTTCTGCTTCAGTTTCCTGTAAAACAGAGATAAGGTTGCTCCCACCTTACAGGGCTGTTGTGAAGATCAAATGAGATAATGTCTGCAAAGTACTTAGCACCGCTCCTGGCACATAATAAATAGGTACTATATAAATGTGAACTATTATTACTGTTGTCGTTATTAATGAAAATTTGGCTTAAAGTCTGGCCAGGAGGCTATGTGGATTCCCAAGCCCAGAGTCAACCTTGACTCTTCCCTCTCCCTCAAGTGACCATATCTAATGAGTTGTCAAATCTGATTAATTCTACCTCCACAATAGCAGTTACACTTATTCCTTTCTCTCCACTCACAGAGCAGCCACCCTAGTTGAGGCCCTCACCACCTTTCACCTGTACTATTGCAACACTTTTTTTGTTGGATTCCCAGTTTCCAGTATCTCCTTTTCCTATCCATCCTCCACAAAACTGAACAAAATAATCTTCCTACAGTGAAAGCCTGACCTTGTCACTTCTCTCCTCAAGAATCTTCAGTGGCTCCCTCTTTCCTCTAGAATAAGATACAAACTCTTCGGTTTGACCTTTAAAACCTTTTGTACTTTGGTTTTAGCCTACATTTCCAGATTTATTTCCCATTGCTCCCCCATGGGCATGACATATTCCAGCCAAACTGGCCTGTTTATTGTTCCTTAAACTCAGCATTCCATCCCCTACCTCCATGCCTATAATGCGTTCTTATCTCATTCTTATCTCTGCCTCTTCAACTCCCTAGACTCCTTTAAGGTCCAACATGAATCTCCTCTTCTGTCAGATATTTCCTGGTGTTAGTATTCTTCCCCTCCTCAAATTATCTTGTATTTA